TTTGGATACCTTCAAAAATGATTGCACTGCACGATAAAGGATTTCTTCAGGTTCTCAAATTCGAAAGATCTCCTATTTGAAGGTAATAAGTTCTTGTATATGGAAAAACTACTGCTTTCGTCAGGAATTAAATTTTTTGTATATTTTTCCAGAAATAAACGGAAATCCTTGTTGTTAACTTTGTTTAGAGGAATATTAGCAGATAATAATGTTTGACAAAGATCTTTGGAAAATGTAGATTTTTTTTTAACACAGTGTAAGTTGTTACTGTACTTTTGAAATTGTAGCGTTTTGATGACGATTTATGGCTCGACTGTGTTTATCAGTTTTTAAATGATGTGTAACTATGTATCTTCGATCTGCAGATACTCGAACTTCATATAACATGCAAAAAAGAGCTAACCCATCACTCGAAAATACATTTTCCCCAAACTCATTGACGTATTTCGATAACATCAGGGCCGTATTTAGGAATTTGACACCAGAGGGTAACAATTAAAAACGCTTCATTATACCAAATACAAATTTCTGCGAGTTGATAAAGATCTTTCTGAATAACAATTCGTTGCTGGTGTACACAAAAACATTCTAAATTCAGTATCAACATAAGGATAAATTGTTTATAAATCTTTGAATCTATCGACAGTACTCGATCGTTACCGAGTATGTGTGTGTATGTGTGTGTCGTGATGCCGTGATTTATATTTTTTTGAGGTACACTTTTTATTTTGTAAAGAAATTTCACTTCAAAAATATTAGATCATTAAATATTGAAAATATAAAAATTAGCCACCCTCTCATATTTAGCCGCCCGGGGTAACAGAACCCTGTAGCTCCCTCCTAAATACGGCCCTGGATAATACATTAGACACTGATTGCTTATTTTTCGACATTTTTGACGTCAATACGAAATAATAAGACACAAACCTATAAAACGACGAAACACGTTACGACACTAAACGACTGAACACTGAAGAAGTGAAGACTGAAGTAAAATTCTATAATAAACTTAAAGCTACAATAGTACAATCTAAAAATCTCGATAAACCGTCATATTTACCCCAATATTTCTGGATTAGTTTCTGGAAAATAATATAGGTATTAATAATAACTGCGACATTATCGCATTTCCGGTCGGTAGTGGCGGTCTACCTAAATCCCGAAATAACGCGTAGGTTAGTACTTTTAACATACCTAATACCTTTAAAAAAAAATTAAATTATCTTATTCACAAATTACAAGTATATAAAAATATACAATTAATGAGAAAAATCAACAAAATTATATTCAAATAAAAAAAATGGTCAAAATTGCAATCAAATTGAAAAAATGGCTAAAATTGCAAAAAGTTGCACTAAAAACTTTTAGATATTAATCCGTACTCACATGAGATGAATTTAAAACCTACTTAGCAACAAATCCAAGCAATGGAAAAAAAAGTTACAAATGCAACGACATCCGAGTCCTAATCATTAATATTACCCAATCGTTAAACAGGCATAGGTATACAATTGAACAGATGGTCAACTCGTTGTTTCGGTTTTGTTGGTTAGTTGATTTGTATTAATTACTTTATTACGTTAGTATATTAATATTAAATAAAAATAATTGATTAAATGCAATTATTATATTTGTATAAGTAATTTAAATACTTTTTTAAAATTAGCATAATTTAGAAATTTTTCGCAGAATCCACGCGTTTCTCAGCGCACGTTTCTCAACACTAACATAACTTCATTAAAATTATGTCATCGTTAATATTTAAATAAGAAATTCACATAGATGTTTGAAGATTAATAGGTAAAATATAAAAATATTCTATGAAAGTCTGAGAAATTGGAAAATCAAATTACTCGTTGACTCTTATTAGGAGTATAATCTATAGGTACTGAATTTCCACAAAAACGGAGAAAAAAAAATTAAAAATAAGACGAGAACGTTGTCTAATAATAATTCAGCCTCACACTTTACTTTTTAAGGTCAATCGTTTAACTTTCGATTTAGTGTCCTAAAAAGTTCAAGATATCTTGTTATATCTAAACACCGGTTTGATTGATAATTCTTAGAATAATATTTATTACATTCTTACAGCAAATATTATAAAGTAAGTCAATTGTAGTTAACATTTTTTATACCCACATAAGTATTTTTAAGCATTTTAAAATGTATTTGTGTATAAATATATTGCACTTGAATAATAAAAATAAACTATAGGTAATTAAAAACTGTATAAAAATGTATAAATAAAAAACAATAAAAATAGTTATTCTAAAAGACAATATTATTACATAATTAAACTAGATTTACTTTATGTAAATATTTGTTTATCCAATAAGATTTTTAAGGGTAGGTATTATGTAAACAAAAAAATTAATTTTGATGTTATTCCGAATATAATTTAAGTAAATACATCTTGTTCACACTTATTTTTATATAAAATAATTTAATATACCTAACCTACATCGTTTTATATTTTTTTAGTAAGCATTATAAAAATCATACTATACTAAGAACAATTTATCTGTATTTAAAACTTATGAATTTACTAAATTTGATAAATCCCACACAAATCTAAATTAATACATTTTAGATTTAGATAATTATATCTAAGAATTAAACATTTTATTAATTTTATTGTTATATTTTTATATTATGTTATGGTGCGTAATATTTTATTTACTTATTTCAATATGCTGTATCTATATACATAATTAATATTTAAATGTAGTTTACATACATTCATTTTGTATTTAAATATACATATATGATATTTATGTTATATTTATGTTGATTAATAAATAGTGTCTACATGCAAGCTACTGTATGGTTTAAATTATATTATATTAATTTCCTTAATTATTAAAAATAAATAAAGATGTTTAAATGGATAAGTGTAGTTAAAAATTGATAATAAAATTTTTTAAGTTATGTACCATATCGTATACCAAGAAATATTGATAAAAAATAATAATAATATGTATTATACTTGTAAAAATACTCATTTGTATAATTTAGTAGAGTGCCCAATTATAAAATTGAATTGTATTATATGTGTATGAATATTCATAACATTAAGTTAATATAATATAAAACTATTATCTATTCTAATTTATAAGTCTTTATATTATATAATTTATGTAAAAATAATTATGCTTTAATATATATTTAAATATCTATCTACATTATTTTACCAATATTATTTATTTTTATTTATGTTTAATTAGGTTTGAAAATATTTTCTAAATACTCGAAAAAAAATTGAATAAATGTATTAATTTCTATGAATATCTACCTATAACTAAATTTATTTGTAATTTGTATATCATTTTTTTTTAATGCAACAATAATGATTTCAGTTGATATGATCAAAACTTTTTACTTGTATTAATATGATATTTTGTTAGATTGAAACAAATTATTCTATCAATAAAAAATATATTTTATTGAAATGATAAAATTAATAGAATCGACAGCAAATTTCTTATGTTTTGTTTATAAAAAATATAATTGTATTAATAAAATATTTTATTATATTGATCACATATTTTGTGAAAATAATTTTACCCATAACGATATGATACTCGTATTATCAAATTAATAAACCAAGTTTAATTAAAATTATAAGATGTTTGTCATTTTTGAAATAATTATGAATTGACATTTTAATTTTGTTAGTTGGACAAATCTGTTTATATGCTGAATTGTGACAAATAATTTGTTAATCGAATTCATATTTTTATCAATGTTACTAAGGTTATTTTCAGTGTAAAATACTCATGGTCAGGTTTGGGGTAGTATAACAATATACAGAAATGAAAAGTTTAAGAAATTGTTGTCACGCGAAAAACGTATTAGAAATTCAAGCTGAAAAGGAAAACAGAATTTCTAGTTACTAAAGCGAAAAAAACAGTATTTTTATATTTTGGAATGCCATGGCATTTTGTAACTTTATCGTAATCTCCATTGCGAATTTCGATTGATTACTTTGACTCAAAAACGCCATAATTAATAAATGAAAAAAGAATATTTCCATAGTAAAAATAATTAAAACATTATTTTAAACATTATTTAAACGGCTGATGGTTCTTATCTAAGAAACAAAGAACGTTTTAATTATTTAATCAGCTAAGCGTACTGGTTTTTATAATAAACATTTAGGGCAGTGGTGTAGAGCTCTAAAAAGTACTATTGTCAAATATATTTTTCAAAAGTACTATTCAATAAAAATATTCAAATCAAACCCATGGGGGCCTCTCCCCATATTTGAAATATAATAATAATATGCTATTACATCATATGAGTAGCTTTTTGCATTTTTAGCTATAATAGTGCTGATTGCAGGAAATAATATTCGTAGCCACTGTTAGTCCCAAGATGGTCCTAATGACCATTAGATGATAGGCCTTTAGGATTACCCATCCCATTTAAGCTAGTTTTTTAACAACACTTGTGTTAGAGGGGGTTAGGGGTTAGGTGCCACTGATCTAGGTTCGTGATCAAGTGTTTTTCAAAAAATTGACTTTTCACGTTTTCCATATCCGTAAAATCAATGGTGCTCACACGTCGATGACCGACGAACATATTTTAATTTGGTATATTACATATCCGTGATTGATCAATATTGATGTTCATGTGATCGTAATAACAGACGGCTGTAGAATTTTATATCAGGAAGAAATATAAAAACATATTAATAACAATATTATAATATGATTATATGACCGGTCGTTACTAGGGTTCGTGCGAGAATCGTATAGTTATGTTGATTTGAACAAAAATCTACGTTCTATGCTATTATTATGGTAACATTATTATGTGATATCGGTGTTTTAGTAAGATGATGAATCATCATTGATGATACATAACGTGCTCGATATGACACGGCACATAACTCTTCTAATCTTTTTGATGATTTTTATACGAAACAATAGTGATAAATGGCAATATTATTACTATTACGTTGATTGCGATTCGTTCTAATTCATTTCGTGTGTTTGCAGGCACAAAGGTTTTCTAAAAGATTGCCCGAACGGACTGCTCACGGAACAAGTAAGTTCATCCATTACGTTTATACACATCTTAAATACAATTATCACCGATCCCTTTGTAACCGCATAAAATAAATTCGAAAGTCGACACGTACACTACAGCATAATATCGATTCGTTCTATACTTTCAAGTTATATTGTTTATATCCGATTTAACAATAAAAAAAAAACTATGACTTTTTATAAAAAAAAAAAAATTAACGAAGATATTTGATAGTTATCAAAGCATATTATAATTTCTACTTTAATATCAAAATATAGAAACGTACTATGAACTGTTTTATATTTTAATTTTGTTATTTATTAATAGTAATAAAAATAAAAAGTCATTCGTTAAACACTAGTACTATGTGTTATAATCTTTTCATGTGAAAATTAAGTTAAATTAATCTTATTTAGAATTTTTAGAATTATGGCAACAATGATAGTTTTTTGTCCAATTTAATATCAAGGATTGTACTGATATTCTGAGTTATAAATTAATATACCATCATGTGGTTTTACCGAATAATTGATTTTATAATATTCTTATTGATTTACAGGGCTTTATAAAGATATACAGACAGTTTTTCCCACAAGGTGATCCAACAAAATTTGCGTCACTGGTATTCAGAGTATTCGACGAGAACAAGGTAAAAATCGACTTTAATATCTTATTCTTAATGAAATTTATAGTCATGGGTACAAATGTACAAATATGTATTTTTACTGTTAAAGTACAACAATATATTGATATAAATATTGTAGTATAACAATGTTTCATTTACGATTCTTTAAACGTAGTATATAATATTCTATATAGAAATACATTTTTATGTCAAGGAATTGTATTTTCATAGTAAACATATACAAAATACATGTATATAAACTATTATAAAGGTTTAATTTTAAACACATATTAAAATTTATTTTTATATCATCAATGATTGATGATCTTTGGTAGATTTTAACAATATATTTCAACAAATAATATGATATTGATTTTAACCTCAGGTTTTCTTTTATAATGAAGAAAATTTGAAATATTTATGCTTACAAATAAAAGTTCTCTACGGTATTTCGTTTTTATTTAACCGAATCTAAATATTTTTTTCAAAATTTAGATTTAAGCTTGTTTATATGTTTATTATTTTTTAATAAAAAAATAATCTTTTCGTTAGAAATTCGTGACCAACATATTCATTTACGCTCTCGTATTCTCTGGCACTGTATTTGTGTTGCTTGCTGCATATCTACTCTTGCGTTTATTCAACCAAATGATAAATACAACACCAACGTAGTTAATAATATTAAAAAAATATATATGTGTACAACATTTTAAATCTTAAATAAATACAGGTATAAAGGGGGTTTTTGAAATAGAAATATTATAAAAGTTAATATTATTTTTTACGGCGATACTCCATGCACCATTTATTCGACTCATATTATAGTGACGCATCTCATTTTATGTCTATATAAATCTTGTTGAATTATTATCCAATTTTTTTTTTAGAATTCGTCCAATCATATTAACTCTGCCTGGTCCAGTTATCCATTATGCGTTGTATAAGCTTATGAACTTTCCTATGGTTTCAATACATTGAATATAGCTTTCTATGTATAATTATATATATCTTTGGATTTCAAAATATTAGTACCTAGCTTAAAAAAGAACATTTTTTATATCATATGATTAAATAATTGTTAAATAAATATGAAATTTGTGAAAGTTAATAACAAAACAATTCATTAGATATGGTTATTTTTTGATATTCGACCATGTATAGCTGAGGGTTTAGTGTTTTACAATAAAATAATTAGGTTTATAGTATAATGTTACACTTATTAATCATAGTTTGAACGAAGCATTGAAAAGTGATAATATAGTATTTACTATACGTAAAACCCTTTATACGTGTACATACAGAACTTAAATATATTATATATCGTCACCAATTATTCACATTTATGTAGGTAGTATGCCACAATAAGTTTAACGCAATCATAGAATAATTTTTTTAAATTGTAAGTAATAATGTGCTTTATAATTCACGAAGAAGATTTATGTGAGCATATTATTTTTTATATCAAGTTGTAATATTATTTTATTTTAAGTATTTTTTATATCTGTTGTCGATAACATTGAAATTTATATTTATGTGGTACAAATAAAGACTTAAATCTAAATCATACATTTATTTTGTTTTATGATGTGTATCAAAAATGATTGATTAAAGTACATTGAAATATATTTCTTACAACTTTTTACCAACATAAAAATTATTTCTATTAATGGCCGATTTTTCTTTTTTCAACTTTAAACGCAATGTTCATTAAACATGTTTACGGAATTTGATTTTCATAATCTCACTCGCATCGGGGAATAAAAAATTAAAAAAACATAAAATCTATTGAGAACCACTAAAGAACATTTTGATTGATAATAAATGTTAATAGGTTTGTTATTTTAAATAATAAATGTCAATTGTATAGATGTTATTTAACTGTATCATTGAAAAGAATGTCTTGATTATTATGCTATGTAGATAAACCATTTCATCCTTAACAATAGGCATTAATCGAAATCCTTTATTTATTTTGTTTATTTTATTTATTCTTACATTTATTATTTTGTTTCATATATTTTATACTTTCTCTATATGGTTTATTTTTCTTCAAAATAAATGAGTTGTATAAAAATTTAATTTTAGACTTCAAACAGTTTCGGTGGAGTTTTTTTTAAACGTATTTGTTCGTTCAATGCTGCATAATATTACCGCATTTTCAAGTAAACGAGCTATTTTCAGTCGTCGACTTAAATTAAGAATTTACCAAAAAATTTACTATTCTAGATTCAAGTTGTTTTTAAATATTTATTAACTACTATTATAAGTATTTATTTCATTTATTTCTAATCAAACAATATTTAAATTCCACAACTTTATTTTGCTGGATATTATTCAATTCGACAGTCATTTAACAAACATTAGGTCATTTTCGACGAATCTTCATTCTCGCTGGCTCCTCTCCTGAACTACTGTAAAGTACATATGTATACTCCACCATGACACGAAGTCTAGTCTAGAATCGCATGGCCGGATATCCGGTCGTTTAAAGCAAATACATTTGACATTTGGCGAAACAACTGTCCGAATAATCTGAGTCCAGATCAGTCTGCTATGGTGCAAAAATCGTGATCGTGGCACTGAATATTTACACCAAGGCCCTTTCCTATGTAGCAACACCACTGCCTTACACACAGTTGTTCAATTCAGTTTCGTCTGTTGACAGAATCGTGAATTACCAAAATTGTTTGAAATTTTTGGTTATTAACGATATTGTCGGCAAAAATGATAAACAATTTTTGTAGCATCGATTCAGAGGGAAAAAATTATGAAACATGACGCAGATATTGCTTACAAGTTGAGCCATTATCGTTTTCTTTTGTCACACTCGAAGATTTATTTTTGTTGGAACGCAATCGTATTTTTTTTATTTTTTTTTTAACCTTAGTTTTCGTTTCTAAATCTAACACAAATATTTTCAACTTTTCTCCACCCAATAATATTACGTTCATATTTCTTTACTGTTTATTTTACAATATTTATTTGGTTTTATTTTTATAAAATTTGATGTCAAACATTACTTTTTTTCTTTTTCTTTCTATTGCATTACGTTACGTCGATACGAATTAAAAAGCGAACGCGTCAAATGTATAAATGTTATTGAGAGGCAAAAATACAATATTTTATTTCCAAACTTTAATACTATAACTTGATGATTATGCGTTTACAGTGAAATCTATCGAAGAAGACTTCTGAATAAAATGAAAATCCGTTTTGGTCGGAAATTGTCTGTTATCCCGTTAGAAATTTGAGGGTTTTATAACTTTTCAAATCAGCCGGAAGCCAGTCTTTACCGGAAAATGTTCCTGGTCTCTTGTGCGATTTCGTTTTAGACAAATTCGTTGTAATATTGTACTGTTATGGCCAGTTACACCATTGTAAGATATGAAGTATAAAAATGTAATTTTTTTATTGTTTATTAGATATTACATTTAATGCGCCTATACACATACAAGTGTTGCACTACTGGAAAAATAATCGAGTGTTCTCGTTTGTGACCCAAAAGAGAAATATAATCATCTTAAATATATCAGTTACTTAATGGACAAGAAATGTGCGTGTTTCGCAGGCGGTACTCTGTATAAAAAGGATATTGCAATCATCTGACGGGGAATTCGATAAGTGAACATGAAATGTAACGTAAAATATTTCCACTCAGTACTCGGAGGTTATAGTTCACATCATCTGAGTATAACATGCCAAGTGGAAAGACGGTTCTCAAATGTTCCGCAACGATGGTTAAATAATAAAATATATTTGATTGGTTATGATGCGGTAGTACAAGTCGGAAACTAATGTGGCCAAGGATGCGTAATATGTATATCCCCACGTAATACATGGCTCGGGAATATATTCAATTTTAAGTTTTAAACACACGCGTTTTAATGGTATTGATTCTTAGATAAATGCTCGAGTGTAATACAATATTTAATACGACGTTTCAGTTCGTAAGTATAGGACCAGAAGGCTCACATCTAAATGCATGAAAATGTAATTGTTCAAATACCATTATATCAGTTTCCGTATTGTTCTGTATAAGCGTTATTCGACAATGTTAATATGTCTAAAAAACCATTTTCTTGTTCGCAAACATGATTTTTACTGAAACAAATATAAAACTAATGTACATAAAACACACTAAGGAATTTCTAACCAGAAAGCTTATACATCCACGGGGAATCTCAATAATATCTTTAAAATTACTCCTACAAACATAGTACGATTGGTAATAATAGTATTCATTTTTCTCAACTTCATCAGATTATTTCACTGCAATGGAATAATGGAATAAACAGATTCAAAACATTAAACGCAACGTTTTGGTCAAGCTTTAGCTTAATTCTTATAGACGACATGTCGAGTTAACACGCCAAAAGTTTAACTTGTACCTAAACATTTTTAGATTTCATAGACGCCATATTGTTTCATTGCCATGTAATACGTTATATCCAATGTTCTCGCTGTTGTGTGTGCGAATAATGAATCGATAAAACGTTGTAATTATACAGCGCATAAAATAAAATAAATATAGCTGAAAAAATCTACGTAACAGAAAATATAATCTTATTGTGTTTATCATTTTAAAAAAAAAAAATGCCTAAATTAAGCATACATAAATATGAGCATACTTGAGAAATCACGACCTACTTACAACACTCCTCTCGTCGAAACAATTTCATCGATCTGCTGATAAAATGCATGGTCTTACACTTGTAATTTTTAATAATAAAATTATAATCAATTGCGCTGTTTTTGAAATATCTTACGCGAATGTGGCCGCAAGTTACAAAACATAGTTTAAGAGTTATAATAATTATATTCTTCTTGCATTTATTATTTATCACAACAAAAAAATTTATAAATTGCTATAAAAATAAAATATGATTTCGTTGGTTAGTTACTCCTAATTAATTTATTATTCGTATGAATAAAATGTACACAGATTAAATTCAATGTATTAAAATTATTAATTTAATCTTCATAATTATGATTGTGAATTGGCTTTTACCGGTTTGATATAATTT